ACAAGCAGGATACCTCTCGCGAGCGACAGCTTGAACGGGCCGTAGACCTAGCACACAGAGAGCTGCAGGCAACGCAGAAAGCAATCTGCATGGATAAGCGTATCAAGGATGCAGATAACGATGCCTGTGGCAAGCCAGAGAAATACCACGATCATCTGCGCCGCCGAGATGTCCAGCAGATGGACCACCACATGTCTGCCAGGAAGCTCGGGGACAGACAGAGGGCGAAACTCGACAGGGCCAACTGGGAACAGCGTCGTGGTAGGCATGCTGGCCGGGAGCAGAGTGCTGCGAGCGTTCCGGATTACGTTTCGGACCGCAGAGAACCAGAGGTGCCACGTCCTGTCACTCCACGAGGGAGGTCCCGCAGCAGGGACGATAGTTCTTCTGATTCGTCAGAGTCTGCTGGGACGTTGTCGTGTGATGGAGACGATAAGGCCACCAACGACAGGAACCACGTCTTCACGAAAGCAGACCGGGCGCCCGAGCTGAGGCTGTCCACCGACAGGAACACAAAGAGGCCTCCTCCAAGCGCAGCCCGGAAAGCAAAGAAAGCCGCAAAGCGCGCCGAGAAGAAGAAAGCAAAGAGGACGACGACGACGACTACTGACTGACCTCTGAGCCTCCCTTTGGCATCTTTTAAAGAAAAGAGGTTGAGGTTGTGAAGCGACTTCATCCCTCTTCTAGTCGTCTTGCCCATCATTCTCTTCTCGCCCCGTCTCTCCTTGTCCCTGCCTTCTCGTGCTGCCTTGCACTTCTCTTGACCGCCGCCGTTTAGGGCCCTTGAGCCGCTCTCGCCTTGCCGGAAAGAGCGGACCGCCCAAGCGAGTCCGGGAGCCTTGCCGGGCATTCCGTCTCCCGCCTGGATGGCTTTCGATTGAGACATCCTCACCCACAGGGCTCCAAGGACAGCTTCAAGAGAGCGTCGAGCAGCACAAGAGAGCACCAAAACAGCCCGAGAGAGTCCCCAGGGTGCCCGAGGGAGCCACCGGAGGATCCCTACATGGTTGGAGAGGGCTCCATGAGGGCGCCAAGACGGCTCAGCTACCCATGACATGCCAAGACGGGCATGGGACAACCGAAATGGGCTCCCAGACGGGCCACAAAAGACCCCAAACAGAGGCCGTTGAGAAGGTCCTCCAAAGGCAAACATCAAGCATTTCCTTTTTGGAAAATTGCATATTTCTGGGAGTTTGGCTTTTCAGTTTTACCAGCGGTCGTGACGGCCCCAGAGGTTACTAAAATGGGCCCCAGACGGCCCCAGAGGTCCCATGGGCTGAAGAAAGCTTCAACTGGCACAGAAGAACTACAAGACGGCCCAAGAGAGCCCCCAGGAAACCCGAGGGGACCACCAGAGGATTCCTACATGGTTTGAGAGGGCCCCAGGAGGGCCCCAAGGCGGGCTGAGCTTCCCACGACGAGCCAAGAGGGACCCGGAACGGTCGAAATGGGCCCTCAGACGGGCCAACAAAGGCTCCAAAGGATCCCAAAGGAAGGCCTGCAGAGGCTCCAGAGACTGCCAGAATGCTTCCAAAAAGGCTCCCGGCTCGTGTTCCAGTAGGCACCTGTGTATTGGGTGCGTTGACAGAAGAGAGGAGGAGGAGGAGGAGGAGGAGGAGGAGGAGGAGGAGGAGGAGGAGGAGGAGGAGGAGGAGGAGGAGGAGGAGGAGGAGGAGGAGGAGGAGAGGAGGAGGAGGAGGAGGAGGAGGAGGAGGAGGAGGAGGAGGAGGAGGAGGAGGACAAGGAGGAGGACAAGGAGGAGGACAAGGAGGAGGACAAGGAGGAGGACAAGGAGGAGGAGGAGCAGCAGCAGGGGGAGCAGGAGGAGGAGGAGCAGGATGAGGAGGAGGAGGAGGAGCAGGAGGTGGGAGGAGGAGGAGGAGGAGGAGGAGGAGGAGGAGGAGGAGGAGGAGGAGGAGGAGGAGCAGGAGCAGGAGCAGGAGGTGGGAGGATTAGGAGGAAGAAGAGGAGGAGAGGAGGAGGAGGAGGAGGAGGAGGAGGAGGAGGAGGAGGAGGAGAAGGAGGAGCAGGAGGAGGAGCAGGAGGAGTAGGAGGAGGAGGATGAGGAGGAGGAGGAGGAGGAGGGGGAGCAGGAGGAGCAGGAGCAGGATGAGGAGGAGGAGGAGAAGGAGGAGGAGGGGGAGAAAGTCAGGAGGACGAAGAGGGGGAAGAGTAGGGGGAAGAGGAGGAGGGACATTGTTATTGTAATATTAACTTGTTCTCTGATTCTCTGGCTCGGGGAGGGATGCTGAGGACGAGGAGGGAAGGGGAGCGCAGGACGAAGAGGGCTCGAGAGGAGGAAGGAGGTGAAGTAGGTGAAGGAACACAGGGAGGGTCACACCGAAGAGCGGGGAATGCAGGGAGTAGGAGAAGAAGGAGGAAGAAGAGGAGGAGGACGAGGAGCAGGAACAGGGATCCCTTTCAGGGAGACGTCGACGAGAAAAGGGATGAGTATAAGATGATGGGAAGAGGGAGAACGGGAAGAGGAGGAGGGTAAGGGGACTGCAATGGACCGGGGATGATGACGGCGATGACGCTGATGATGATGACGATGATTATGCCGCCGACGACGACCAACAAGATGTTGATGATGCGGAGTATGATGCTGAAAAGTACGATGACGATGATGGCGATGGTGATCACGATGCTGATGATAATAGTGATAATGGTGTTTGTTGTGATGGTATTGGTGAAAGTGACCATGACAATGACGATAAAGATGACGGGGATGAGGATGACAATGATGTCGATGAACAGCTAGAATTTGATTGCGCTATGGTTCTAGTATATCTATATATATATATATATATATATATATATATATATATATATATATATATGTATAGATGTGTGTGCATATATATATATATATATACACACATATATATATATGTACATATATATGTATGTGCATATATATATATATATATATATATATATATATATATATATATATACATATATATATGTGTGTGTGTGTAGATGTGTGTGTGTGTGCGCGTGTGTGGGAGTAGGCCGGTGGGGGGGCGGGCCGGTGCCCGTACCCCCCCATGGGCGCCCTCAGGGGTTCTGGGGGGTCCCAGAGCTTCCGATGCGGCCCGGGCCAGCCCCGAAACGGGCGACGACAGTCTAAGGGGGTCCTAAGAGGGCCTAAGACAGTCCCAAAAGGCCCCGAAGACGCCCAAGATGCCCTCAAGACGGCCGACAGGACTTCAACACGCTTCAGGACGGCCTCAAGAGGCTCCCCAAGAGGGCCGTGGGAGGCAACATTCTTCCATTTTCCGATGGTCTTTGAAGGATTTTGGCGTTCTCGCTTTACCCGCTTCCCAACGTTCCCTCACAGGCTCGGAGGCCCTTCAGATCGCTCCAAGACGGCCCACAAGGCCCCGAAGAGGGGCCCAAGACTGCTTGGGAGGCTCCATAGACAACCCCAAGTGTGCCCCAAGAACACCCCAAGAGGGGGCCCAGGGGGAACCACGAACCGATATTTCGAGGTCTCTGGCCCTACAAGGCCCCTAGTAGGCCCCCGGAGGCCACCAAGAGGCTCCCAAGAAGCTCCGTGAGGCCCCCGAGAGGCTTCCATGAAGCCCCAAGAGGCCTCCAAGGGGCCCAAGGGAACCCCCAACAAACCCCAACAAATCATGTCCCGAGAAAGCCTTCCAGGGACATGCTTCATCATGGGGCCGAGAATTTCCGGAGGCTCCGAAGTACCATCACGCTGCCGGAGAGTTGTCTGGGAAGTTGAATGGGAAGATGATTGATCGCCTTATCGCGGCCCTCCGCGGATCGTTTCGCACAAAGTCGCACCAAGGGCCCATTTGAACCGTATGGTAGCACCCGGGACGTGTTCCGGCTTCTCCGTACGTTGGGGCCCCAGTCTGTGATTTGGTGATCGGCTTCAGCCGGGCCTACGGAGGGGGCGAGGAGGTCTTTCGGAGGTCCAGAAGCATGGGGGCCGATGTTCTGCGCCGTCGTCGTCCTCGCGGTCGTCGTCGTCCTTGCGGTCGTCATCGTCGTCGTCGTTGTCGTCGCTCTGTCGTCGGCCAGACGTCGTCGAACGTCGACGACCTTCGGACTTCGGAGTTCATTCTTGCACTTCGGGCTCCAGGGCCGTTTTCGGGCCCCAGGACCGTCAGAAACGGATCCGGGATGACATAGCGCGTTCCGGGGGTGCCGAAATCTTCTCGAGCGGCCGCCGGAGGGTTCGGTTACGGTCCGACAGGCGACGGTGGCCTCTTCCTCCTCTCGCCCCTCCTCTTCCTGCTCCTCCTCCTCCTCCTCCTCCTCCTCCTCCTCCTCCTCCTGAATTGATCTTCAGATGTGCATCTTGGGTTTCTCTGCAGAGCAGGTATGGGCCGTCCGTTCCCATCCTGGCTCAAGCTCGTCATGCGTCCGAGTCCCAGCGTCACGGCCGCAATAGCCTGGCTGGCAGCTTGGGTGACCCACTCGAGCGTGAAGCGGGCCTGGCGCGTGGAGGCGGCAGCCTGCCCACGCTGTCCCGACCTGCGCTGCGCGGAGGTCCCTGCCTGTCCCGAGCTGCGCTGCGCGGAGGCGGCCGCCTGCCCCTCGCTGCACTGCCCAGCGGCGCCGGCGCCGCCCTGCCCCGCGCCGCCGGCACTGCCCAGCGGCGCCGGTCTGTCCGCCGTGGCCCGTCCTCCCTCCTGAGGCCTCCAGCGAGGCCCGCCGGGAGGGCCGCGGCCCGGGGGCCGACCAGGAGCCAGCTGCCCCCCCTCGCGAGGCGGAGGGTCGGCTGGCGGGGGAGGTGCGGAGCCGCTCAGACTGGCTGGGCTGGGGGCTCGGGCTGGCGCTGGACTTGCTCGGAGGCGCCACTGGAGTGGCGGTGCACGCCGTTCTGGTGTTCGTGCTCGTCTCCGCGAGAGCGTGCTGGAGTGCACTGCTGCATGCCATCCGCCCACGGCCGCGCGCGCTGGCCGATGGCGGTGCCGGGCGTCCAAGCCTGGGCGTCGGTGCGGTACGCAGAAGCAGGCCTCTTCCACCAGCGGCTAGTCCTGGGTGTCTTGGCCGCTTCTCCAGCGGCAGCGATTGACGTGGTCATCGCCACCCCCGACGCGGACGTGTGCTGCGAGACGTACGGGGGGACCGATGCCAACACAGCGGCTGCGCGCTGGAGCGAGTGCCGGCGTCCTCCACCTCCAGGGGTCCCTCGCGACTCGTATCGCTTCCGCCGCGAGCCGACGCCTGCCGAGATGCTGGAGTTCGAGAGGCAAGGGTGGCTTGTGGCCCGCGACGAGTTCGTGGCGAGGGGTCGCCGCAATCGGGGCCCTGGGGTGGAGCCTTCCGGAGGCGCCCTGCTTCCGCTGGCCGCCGACCCCGCCCGCGCGCCGCTGGCCGCGCCTCGCTTCCCTGGGCAGGGAGAAGGCGTGCCCCGGCCGATCGGCGGGGGCGACGCCGTCGGCGGAGCGGGGCGCGGAGCCGGGGGCGGTGACGTGGGCGCTGTCGCCGCGGGGGGACCCCCACCAGTGCTGCCTCACGGCGACGAGCTGGTGAGGGTCGTCACGGAGACGATGCACGGACTGCAGAGGGGCATGGTGGTGTTTCCTGGCGCGGGGATGCCCACGCTCGGCGACGTTGGCCTCTATCAGGTGCCTAGCGCTGCCCCTGGACGTCGAGGCCCTGCGGTTACCTCGGTCCGCCGCATGCCGTACAAGGACGTGGGCTCCTTCGTGCGCGTGAATTCGGTGGCCGACGCTCGCATCATGCCGATCGAGCTGGTGGGAGATCGCAGGCGTCGGAGGCCCTGGAGGCAGGTCGTGGAGCTCGGGATGGTCACCCCGTTCCACGACTGGCCCGCGCAGGGCCTCGCACCGTGGAGTGGGTGATGAGGTTCCTCGACAGGCGTGGCGGCGGACATGGAGATCATCATGCGTGGTGGCGTCAGGTGAATGGACTCCAGCGAGGCGCCTGGGGCGTCGAGGTGCACGAGAACGGGCTCCGCGCGCTGGAGATGGCGGCGAGCTGCGACGGCCTGGAGATTGCGATCTGCGCCTGTCTGGAGATTATTGCTCGTGGGTGTCAGCTGGTGGAGTATGCCTACCCCCGCGAGCCGATGGGGGGAGGCGCCTCAGTGGGCGACGACAAGGAGGCGAAGGACAATAAGAACCGCGGCGAGGGCCGCGGGCGCGCCGCCTGCTGGGGGAGAGCGACGTGTTCATGGGCCTCCACTGCGAGGCGGGCGAGACGGTGGTCTCACCTGACCTCTTGGACTTCGTCGCTCGCGAAGTTAGACGAGATGCCAACGTCTTGAAGCAAGTGCGGAAAATGCGGGAGGAACGCCGCGCCCTTGGCAATGGCGCATGACGGACCCCCGTCGGGCTTCAAGCCCGGGCTTGGCGGGCACCGCAGGGCCGAATTCGCTCGCGGCGCTGGAGCCCCTCACATTCGCCAGCGAGGTCTTTTTGCTCTACCCCTTCTTCGGGGCGTCCGACCTCGCGGCGGCCCCCCCCGCGCTGCTTGCCGCGCTACCCAGAGGAGAGCTCACCGTCAGTCCGCCATCGACGCTGCGACGGGCGAGCTCATCGGCACCCTCAACGACATGCACGGGGCGCCGCGTCGCGGGTCTCCCCGGGACGCCTCGAGGCCGACGACGGCGCAAAGTCTCGCCCTGGACCGCCCGCGCCAACTCGCTGCAGACGCAGGGCCGCCTCCCGACGACCTCGACGGACCAGGGGCCTTCGAGGAGCTTCGGTCCAAGCTGGCCTACGACGGTTCATCCTCTCGGCTTGCTCCTCTTCGCGTGGACCTCCTGGACCTGCCTCCGCCTGGATTTCGACCTGCGTCGCCGCAGGAGTCCGCGGGTTCCGCGGGCGAGTTGATCGAGAAGAAGCTTTTAGACAAGGTGCTTCCCGGTGTGGAGGGGGGGGCGAACTTGAAGCTCTTGGGCTTGCGTCGGGCTTATACCGACCCCCGCTCCGAGGGGCCGCAAGGTGTACGTAGAGTTCTTGAAGCGGCTCCACGCCGCTAACCTCCTCGACTTCCGGCGCAAAGTATGACGTCGAGTGGGGTGTTTCAGTGTTTGGGCGAAGTCGGGTGCGCAACGGCTCGTCGTCGACGCTCGCATCCCGAACTGCTATATCGAGGGCCCCGGCCCCGCGCAGCTCGCTAGCGGGGCATGCTTCGCCAGCCTGCAGCTGGGCGCGGGGGCCCCCGCTGGTGCTGGGCGGCGCAGACATCCGCGCGGCCTTCCACGCGATCTCCATGCCCCCCCCGAGCTGCGCGACCTCTTCGGCTTCGACAGGGCCCGCGCCTGGGAGCTGGGCGCGTCGGAGGTGGGCGGGGCAGCCCGTCGAGCCTGGCGAGCGCATCCACCCCGTCGTCGCGGCGCTGCCGACGGGGCGGGCGCTGGCTCTGCAGGCCTGCCGGGCGCAGCACGAGGAGCTGGCGCGGCGAGAGCCCGACGCGTCGGAGGCCAGCGCGCTGGTCGACGGCAGGCCCCCTCCCGGGCTGACGCCCATCGCGCGCGCCGAGTGCGTCGACGACTTCGCGTGCTTCGGGCGGGACCCCGCCGCGGCGAAGGACGCGGTGACCCGCGTCCGAGGACGCCTGGAGGCTGCAGTTTTGCCGATGCACGACATCGAGCTCAGCGCGGGTGGCGACGCGCTCGGCTGGCACTTCACCGAGGACGGGCGCTGCTCAACGCGCTGCGCAGTTCTTGGCGGACGCGGCTCGCAGCCCTGCGCACGCCGCAGCTCGGGCGGGCCAGTGGGCGCGAGATCTCAACGCTCCTTGGCCAATCCACGACGCGGGGTATCCGCCGTGAGGCGCTGGCTGCGCCTTAGGCATGCTTCTCCTTCGCTCAGCAGTTCCAAAAAGGAAGAGGGACCCTGTGGCCCTCGGTGGTTCGCGAGCTCAAATGGATTGCCTCCATAGTCTTCGTGGCCTCTCGGGAGCTCGACGCCTCTTGGGGCCCTAAAGTGCGCGCGTTCGACGCGTCGTCTCGGGGGCGCGGGGTGACGGGCAAGTGCGTTGGCGAGGCGGACGCGAAGACGATGGGGTGCTACAGTGGCCGATGGTGATTTTCAAGACGAGAAGAAGACGACCACTTCCACGATCCTCGGGGGGGCCTCCTTCGGGGTGACGGAGTCGAGGGTGTCGATCGTGCGCCGCCTGTTCCTGAGCGAGTCTGGGGGGGGGGGGGAAGTGGCGTCGCGTGGCCTCGTTTAGGTGGGCGCCTGGGGACCATCAGGTTCACTTGGAGTCTCGGGCTGCTACCTGGGCGCCCAATCACCTGGCCAGGACTTCCGCGTGCCATGGACAGCGTCACCTGATCCTCGGAGATGCGATCACCGCAATCCTTTCTCGGACCAAGGGCCGTGGAGGCTCGGTTGGCCTCAGCCGCGCCCTTCGGAGATCGGCGGCCTTGGTGCTCGCGGCCAACCTGTGCCCCGCCTGGCGCTGGCTGCCCTCCGAGAGGGACGCTGCTGACGCTGCCTCGCGAGGCCGCCGCTGCCTGCGCGCCCCGGCCCGGGGGCCCGCCCGCGACGCCGCGGGCGCGGGCGCCCCCTTGGGCCGCGGCGCGCGCGGCGTGTCAGCCGCTGCCGAGCCGCCCGCTTACCAGACAGAGGATCTCTTCCGAGGGGTCGCGGGCGCCGGGCCGTGCGGGGAGCTTGCCGACGCGCTGCAGTTCCACGAACGCCTTCCCTTGCGTGGGCCGCTGACAGCCGAGGCCGATGCGCGAGGCCCGCCCCGTTCGCGAGGTGACGAGCTGGCGCAGGGCGCGCGCCGCGGCTCGCCGCGCTGTCCACCCCCCGCCGTCGGCGGGGAGCGGTGGGGCTCGCCGGGGCAGATCGTTGCTGGAGCTGCGCTCGGTGTCGAAGCGGCAAGAGGCGGAGTACCGCGACCAGTGCCAGCGCTTCCTCGAGTGGACGCGTCAGCAGCAGCTCCGTTGCCAGCGGCTGCCCGATCTCGAGATCGCCGCGGTGGAGATGTTGAATCAGACGTGCTACGACGGCTGGAGGTCGAACACGGCTTCGAAGGTGGTGGGTTGGCCTGGGGTGCTCGCTGCTGGCGCGGGCGCAGGTGGCCCGCCGGGGCTTTGCGAAGCTGCCCCCAGGCACGCCTGCCACTGCCATGGGCTGTGGCGCGCCTGGTGGCCACGCAGCTGGTGGGCCGGGGGGGCTGGCACCTCGGCGCGGCCGCCCGCTTCGCCGTCATCCGCTACTTGAGGCCGCGCGAGCTCCTGAGGATCCGCGAGCGCGAACTGGTGCCGCCCGCGGGCTCGGCGCGCAGGCTGACGGAGAAGTGGGGCATCGCCCCCCACCCCGGGGCGCTGGTGGTGACGTCCAAGATGGGCGCCCCGGACGAGACCATCCTGGTCGACAACGTAGACTCTTTCAAGTTCGTGGAGAGGCTGGTGGCGCGGCTCCGAGGGAGCGGCAGCGCCGCCCAGGTGTTCCCCTTCACCGACCGCGAGTGGGCCGTGGTGTTCGAGGCGGCGGCCAAGGCCGTGGGCCTCGTCGGCGAGGCGACGCCTGCGCTGTACATGCCGAGGCACGGCGGAGCGCCCCATGGCGCGACGACGGGCGCCCGCAACCTTAGGGCAATCCAGGGCCGAGGGCGTTGGCTCACAGAGCGGTCCGTGACGCAGTGCAAGAATGGCGGCCGCGTGAACCAGGTGTTGCGGTCGCTGCCCGCCAGCGTTGTCAGGGCGGCCGCCGCCGCCGAGCGGGCAACTTCCGCGCGGCCCCTGTCGAGCTGATGCGCCGCCGGAGGCGGGGCAGCTTCGCTCGGCGGGGGTTCGCCTTGGAGCTGTTCGCTGGCACTGGTCGCCTGAGCGCGGCTTGGCGTCAGGCCCCGAGGTTCCGCGGTATTCTTATCTTTGAGATCGACTCGAGGCACGGCCCCCAGCGCGATCATTTCCAGAGATCCCTCCACAGTTTCATTCGAGCTCGAATCCGAGACGGCTCTCTCCGAGCCGCGTGGATTGGTTTGCCCTGCAGTAGTTTCAGCACGGCTCGCAATCGGCCCAACGGGCCGGCGACGCTGCGAGATGCCAGCTTCCCTCTGGGCCTGCTGGGATTGAAACCGTGGGACCTGAAGGCCGTTCGTGTCGGGAACGCTCTCGCCGCGTTCTCGGGGGGGCTCCTCGGTCTTGCGAGCCGATGCGGGATGCCGCTCGCGATCGAGAATCCTGGCCAGAGCTGGGCGTGGAGCCATCCTGCCCTTTCCCCTGGGTCGCCGTCGTCGCTGTCGTCCTCATATGCTCCTTCTTCCTCCATCGCCGATTTTTTCGCCGATTTTTGTATGGGAGAACCCCCCTGAAGGAAGCGGCCTCGGCTTCGTGCCACGAGTCTGAACTTGGGGCCCGCTGTCAAGCGTTGTGACGGTCGAGGGTTGTGTTCTCCTTCGGGGATTCTTCGCATGCAGTTAGAAGGCAAGAACTCCGAGGGTATGTTTTACACGAAATTCGCCGAAGGGTACCCTCGCAAGCTGTTCCGCCGAATAGTCACGTGTTTCAGTTTCGTTGTTTTAAGACCAGCATGTAAGTTTCGAGCATATCTATAGTCTCTCGGGCCCTTGTTTTTTCTCCGGGCCTGGCCGTCTGTGCCTGGGTCATGGAGTCGCCTGCTTTTCGGGTCCTTCGGGTCCGCTCCTGGGCTCGTCTAGGGTGGCCGCTCCCGCGGCCAAGTCCTGCCTGTGCAGTTTGCCTGATTGTGGATCCGTGTAAGATGCTTCTGATTTAACTCGTTAAATTTTCGGTGTGTGCCGAATTCTTCAGATCACGCGAGTACGTTCACACAGAATTGCCGTGGCCCACCAGCGCAGCGCAGAGCAACAAGCTGACTTGATCTTCAGATGTGCATTTGGGCTTCTCTGCAAAGCAGGTGTGGGCCGTCCGTTTCCATCCTGGCTCAAGCTCCCTGCTTCGCTTCCCTCCCCCAATTTAAACCAGTCAGGATCCGTGTAGGATGCTTCCGATTGAACTCGTTAAATCTTCGGGGCGTGCCGAATTCACCAGAGCACGCGAGCTCTTTCACACAGAATTCCCGTGGCCCATCAGCGCAGCGCAGAGCGACTAGATTTTCCTCCTCCTCCTCCTCCTCCTCCTCCTCCTCCTCCTCCTCCTCCTCCTCCTCTCTCCTCTCTCCTCTCTCCTCTCCTCTCCTCCTCTCTCCTCCTCTCCTCCTCCTCGTTCATTCGTTCTTCTCCCGCGGCGTGCCGCGCGCGCCCCGTCGCCTGCGTCATTGCCGGCATCAGTCGCCGCAGCCGTTAGGTTTGGCCTGCTGGAGCGCGCGTGGATTTGGCGTGGAGTTGCGCCGCGCGATGCCGCCGACGGCGACGACGGCGGCGGCGGCGACGAAGACGGCGACGATTTTCGAACCTCGATGTTCGAAACGGTTGTTCGGCGCCTTCTGCCTTCGGGGGCCCTTCTCCGGCCCTGGTGTCGTCGGGTTTCGATCTGGAGCGGGCAACTTCGCCGGATGGATCCAGGGAAGGGTCCATCCGACGACGAAGCGACGAAGAGGAGGAGGAGGAGGAGGAGGAGGAGGAGGAGGAGGAGGAGGAGGAGGAGGAGGACGACGACGACGACGACGACGACGACGATGGCGCGCCCCAAGTGGCGACGACGACGTTACGACGACGACGACGGCGCGCCCCAACAGGCTCCCCAAGACGCCCAAAAAACAACATGTTCCCACAAGGCCTGTTGGGAACCCGATTCATCGGGACTCCGCCCCCCTACGCGACCATTTTCCCCGCAAGCCTCCTTGAATGCGGATTGACGCGCGTGTACTGATCGTTGCTCATCATGCGTTCATCGTTGCGGACACTTCTTCACTTTGCGTCAAACTATACGTGGCCCACTACTTCAGTGGAACAGTGAACTCGTCAAGGCCTGGGGCCCGCTAGAATTTAAGCGCGCGCGAAGCGCGCGCGGTTGTAGTATGTGTAAAATATACATAGCCAGTGTGCATTTCATCCTCGCCGGATGAAGTGTCGAGCGGACTTTGTTTTGTTGGTGCATTCCATTTGACGCGGAATGCTGGTTCGCATGGTCGGCGCCCTGCGTGCGACATGAATATCGTTCTAGGCTGGCTCCGGCATGGTCGGGGTTCGATGTGTTGTGTCGTGGCTTGAGGAAACCAGCCAGGCTGGTTGAGGCACGGAGGTCGCGCGCGGTACTCTACCCTCCCCGTCATAGACCCCCCGACTTGTTCAGGAGTTTCGGGACGGACCCAGCCGCGGCGACAAGGGCACGTCTGGGGGCCCAGAGTTCTCCAGCCATCTCTGTCGCCGACGCCTCTCTTCAGGTTTTTGCGGATGTTCGGGGGGCGGACGTTCTCGATTTGCGTCTGACATCGAATTACGTTGTTAACCCTTCATTGTCGCCGGTCCGGTATGGAAAGAAAAAGTTGCAGCGGAGCTGGCAAGGCTTATCCCCAGGCCGCAGATTGGGTTCTCGGGATGTGGTCCCATTCCCAGGCCCCAGATGTACCCATCCCCATATCCCCAGCCCAGGATGTGCCCCGTCACGCCCACCAATGGTTGCTTTGATTGGTTGGTTGCTGGGGCAGTTTCGGTTTCTGGCACCGTCAGAGAGACATCTGGGCGACGACCATTCCGCCACCATGCTTGGTCGCCCGAAGCCCCGCCGCCGCGGAGGTGCGCGAAGATCAGCGGCTCCTGCGGGAGGAGGAGAGGCGGCGCGACCGCGCGGACCTCGCCGACGAGGCGCGGCGTCCGTGTGCCTCGCCAGCCCTCGGCGGCCTTTCGGCGGCCCTCGGCTCGGGAGGATCGAGAGACTTCTGTCGGAGAGAATGGTACGGTCGGAAATGGTTGGATAGCGTGGCCCACCGCGCTTCGGTGCGACACGCTATCAGCGTTCTGGCCCCCCCGCGTCAGCGTCGCAGACTTTTCGGGCCTCCCCGCCCCGCAGAGCGGAGCGAGACGCCATCCGCTTGCAAGGCACAGCGTGTCGCCGGAACCATCGCGGGGACACGACCCAGACGTTCCCGACCTGCACGAAGACCGGCCGCAGTTCTGTCAGGAGGGAAAGAAACACACAGACACAATTAATCGTTGATTCCACAGAAAATATTGGAAAATATGGGAAATGGGAGGGAAGACAGAAACCCCGAACATATGGCAAAATATGGGGAATCTTGTTATTTGTCTGTATTTATTTGTGTGTCCCAGGGCCCCTTCATTCTTGTTTTTTGAACAGGACTTGCTGTCGGTGTAGCCGCGGGCGTTATCCCCTTGGGAAAGAAGGCCGCCTGCCCAGCAGCGACCGCGGTCGGCTTGGGATTGCCATTAGGGGTTGGTGCGCCTCAGGAGCAACCGATCGGGGGTTGTGAACCTGGATAAACATCAGAACTCACAATCATCATTCAGACCAGACTCCAAAGCATCAGAATACCACGATGATCAGGACGCAAGAGTGCATCAAAGTCGTGAGTTGGGACAACCACTGCTGTTGGGCATCGCCCCATGCCGCTCCGCACGCTCGCCCCTTCTCGTCTTGGTGCATTCCTCGACGGGCGGTCTTCTGCAGCGTTCGACCCCCCGGGGCCCTCCCCAGGACCTGGCCCCGGGAGCACGGGCCCAGATCCTCCACCAGGGGGCCCACGACTGCGGAAAAGCCACGACTGTGGAAAAGCCACGACGTGGGGCCCACGATTGTGGGGCCCACGACTGTGGAAAAGCCACGACGTCGGAGTCCTGGGGGCCGTTGGCTTCCACGGGCGGCCGCCGGCGGCCTTCGGCAGCCAGCGGCTTCCACGGGCGGCCTGCGGCGGCCCTCGGCGGCCATCGGCTTCCACTGGCGGCCATCGGCGGCCGTCGGCCGCCTGCGGCGGCCATCGTCATTTGAGGGGCACGCAGGGATACACGGTGAGAGCGCAACAAGGGCGTCTAGCAAATGCAGTGGAGGGTGTAGAGTGAGATCTTGCAGACAGGGAGTGGAGTGCAGCGAGTGTAAGCACACATGTATAGTTAGTACAGAAGCACATGTAGGGGAGCCTGTTGCGAGAGATGGGGAGGCAGGGAGCCTTCAAGCCGCAAGGGACCGATATACGCCATTCTCAGTGCGCACGGTGGCGAATCGTCAGCTCTGTGCTCGCTCGATCCATCCGAATGCTGTCTGCACTTCTGCCGTACGCACATGTGTCTTCTGGTTTAGATTTCATTCATTTCGCTGTACACAGTGGCCGTCACGTGCTCGAATCGTATCGCCACGTGTTGCACCTATTGCAAAAGCAGGGTTACGCACTCACGCGCCTAAATTCCCCCCCCCCCTCTCTCGATTTCCCAAGCCTCCGAGGTAAATGTGTGGTTGTCGGGACGGCCTCTCGAACTTATCCACGGGGCCAGCTTGTCGTCCTGGGCATTCATTTAACTTGTTGGTGGCCCTCGCGCCCGAAACGGGTCTCCAGCTGCCCAGCAAGTCAAGCGACAGGAAGCCGTATGGTGTAGAGCTATATATATATATATATATATATATGTATATATACGTGCAAATGTATACACATGTACATATACCTCAATATCTATATGTATATATATATATATATATATATATATACATACATATCCATATACCTATACACATGCGTATACATATGTACATTGTGACATATACGCATGCATGTACATATATATATATATATATATATACATACATAGGGGTAGGCTGGGATAGGGTCCAAAATTGCGACCTCTGGATCGCGTGGGGGGCTGGGGGGGCCTTGAGGGCTCCAAGAAGGTTCCGAAAGGGCCCAGGACCTCCTCAGAGGCTCCCAAGCTGACCCAAGAGGTTGTCTGGAAGGTGGCTGAAAAGCGCACTGAGATGGCTTCCGGACGGGCCACGAGCGCTCGAAGACAGCCCAAGACTGCTCCTAAACGGCCACAAAGGCACTCAAGACGGTCCAAGGCGCCGCCGAGAAGGCCCTCCAAGGGCAAAAATCAAGCATTCCCGATGGAAAAGCACATATTTCCTGGATCTTTGCTTTTTAGTCCTACCAGCGGCCGCGACGGCCCCAGAGGCTCCCAAAATGAACCCCAGAGGGCCCCCAGACGGCCTGAAGAGAGCTTCAAGCAGCACAAGAGAGCTCCAACACGGCCCAAGAGAGTACCCAGGAACCCCGAGGAGGCCACCGGAGGATACCTACATGGTCGGAGAGGGCCCCCCGAGGGCCCCAAGACGGGCTCAGGTCCCATGACGGGAGAAGAGGGACTCGGAACGGCCGAACTGGGCTCCCAGAGGGTCCAACAAAGGCCTACCAGGACTCCCTGAAGACGGTCCAGGAGGCCGCAAAGGCTCCCCAACTCGGCTCCACACGGTCCACGAGGCCCCCAAGAGGGCTCCAAGACAGCTTTGAGAGAGCGTCGAGCAGCACAAGAGAGTACCAAAACAGCCCGAGGGGGCCACCGGAGGATCCCTACATGGTCGGAGAGGGCTCCATGAGGGCCCCAAGACGGCTCAGCTACCCGTGACATGCAAAGAGGGGCTTGGGACACTTGAACTGGGCTCCCAGACGGGCCACAAGAGGCCCAAAATGACCCCCCCACGACTGTCCAAGAGGCCGCTGAGAAGGCCCTCCAAAGGCAAACATCAAACATTTCCTTTGAAGTATTGCATATTTCTGGGAGCTTCGCTTTTCAGTTCGACCAGCGGTCGCGACGGCCCAAGAGGTTGCCAAAATGGGCCCCAGAAGGCCCCAGAGGCCCCAAAGAGGGTTCCAAGATGGGCTGAAGAGAGCTTCAAGCAGCACAGAAGAGCTACAAGACGGCTCAAGAGAGCCCCCAGGAAGCCCGAGGGGGCCACGAGAGGATTCCGAATCGTCGAAGTGGGCCCCGGGAGAGCCCCAAGGCGGGCTGAGCTCCCCACGACGAGCCAAGAGGGACCCAGAACGGCCGAAATGGGCCCTCAGACGAGCCAACAGAGGTCCCAAAGGACTCCAAAGGAAGGCGGGCTCCAGAGACTGCCACAATGCTTCCAAAAAGGCTCCCGGCACGCGTTCGAGTAGGCACCCGTTTATTGGGTGCGTGGAGAGAAGAGAGGAGGAGGACAAGGAGGAGGAGGAGGAGGAGGAGCAGGAGCAGGAGGAGGAGGAGGAGGAGGAGGAGGAGGAGGAGGAGGAGGAGGAGGTGGGAGAGGAGTAGGAGGAGGAGGAGGAGGAGGAGGAGGAGGACGAGGAAGAGGAGGAGAAGCAGGAGGAGTAGGAGGAGGAGGCGGAGGAAGATCGGGATGACGAAGAGGGGGAAAAGGAGGGGGAAGAGGAGGAGTGACATTGCTCTTGTAAGATTATCTTGTTCTTCTGACTCGGGGGAGATGCTGAGGACGAGGAGGGAAGGGGAGCGCAGGATGAAGAGGGCTCGAGAGGAGGAAGGAGGTGAAGTAGGTAAAGGATCACAAGGAGGGACACACCGAAGAGCGGGGAAGACAGGGAGAGGGAGGAGGAGGAGGAGGAGCAGGAGGTGAAGGAACAGGGATCCCTTTCAGGGAGACGCCGACGAGGGAAAGGATCAGTATAAGAGGATGGGAAGAGGGAGGGATAGAGGAGGGGACCGGGGATGATGACGGCGATGACGTTGATGATGATGATGATGATGATGATGATGATGATGATGATGATGATGATGAAGATGGCGATGATCATGCCGACGACGACGCCGACGAGGACCAACAAGATGTTGGTGATGCGGAAATGATGCTGAAAAGTACGATGACGATGATGGCGATGGTGATCACGATGCTGATTATAATGGTGATAATGATGATTGTTGTGATGGGGATGGTGAAGGTGACCATGATCATGACGATGACGATGAAGATGACGGGGATGAGGATGCCAATGATGGCAACGATCATGACCCTAACTAGAACTTGAATGTATGTTTGCCTGCGTGCATGCATGTGCGCATGCATGTATCCATGTATGCATGTATGCACGTATGCGTGTATGTGTTCACCAATGGAGTTATCGACGTGTGTATACATGTGCGTATGTATGCATTTTCGACTGCATGCATGTGTGCGTGTGAGTGTATAAATATAGGCATGAATGAAGGCATGTGTGGATGTATGTATGTATGTATGTATGTATGTATGAATGTATGTATGTATGTATGTATGTATGTATGTATGTATGTACGTACGTACGTATGTATGTATGCATGTATGTATGTATTGATGTATGTATGTGTGTTTGTGTGTTTGCCTGTTTGTGTGTACGTATGTGTCTGTACGTACATGTGTACGCGTGTACGCATATATGTTGATGTGCTTGCATGCGTGAACGTATGAATGCATGCATGCATGCTTACTTGTATGTCTGCACGGATGCATGCATGCAAACATGAATGATTGCATGCATGTGTGCATGCGCAGAGGTATGCATGTATACATGTATGTACGCATGCATGCCTGAATGAAGGCATACATGTATGTATGTATGCATACATGCATGCATGCATGCATGCATTCATGTGTGTATACATGCATGTACGTGTGCGTGTATGTTTGCATACGGGCAGGAATGTATGTGAGCATATATACGTGAAGAGGTGTTTGCGTACGTGCGTATGTATGTATGTATGCAGTATTAGATGTATGTGTAATCATGCATGTATGCAAGTATGTATGCATATGTAAGTATATGTGTCTGTGTGCATGATGATGTGTGCGTGTACGTATGTGTATACGTGTCTGTATGTATGGCCGTGCGAGCCCAGCTGTTGCAGTCCTCAATGTGGTGGTTGCGTTACGCACATAATAAGCCACGAGGTCGCGGGGTGCCTTCTGGCGGCTGCAGAGATCGACCGAGGTGTCCCGAGTTCACATGGATCTTCGCACCCAGCCCGCGCACAGTAGGGCCAGTCTCGATGTCTTCGCGGCGAAGGGGGGCATGGGCACCCCCTGCTGCGCGCCCGCCCTCCGAGAAGCCCCTGGCCGCAGGCGGTGTTCCAGAGAGCGGTGCAGCAAGGCATCGAGGAGGAGTGGCAGGAGCGGGTGACGGAGTGGATCGAGGACTCCCGCGATTTCCAGGAGCGCCCCAGGGCGCGCATCCAGTCCGCGCTCGATATCCCTTTCCCCCTTCCCCCCCCTGTGCTGCTCTGATGCTTTGGTTTGGCGGCCACGAGGGACCCGACGGCGGTCGTGGAAAAAACACGGCGTCAGTTATTTATGTTCGTTCACTTCTCACACGTTTCGTGGCCCCGTGAGCTCCCGAAGGCCCCAGAGGCACCGCCCACATTTGGACGTCACGCCCGTTTCGGTACACCCATCACACATCTCGTGGTCCCGTAGGGAGCTTCCTCCTCCTGTGTCCCACTAGTCTCGCGGAATGCACGCTTCTTTCTGATTGGGTTGTTCGCTAGGTTATTTGGCTCCAACAAAGCTTTCCCTGGGAAGTCTCACGGGGAAGTGTTCACAAGTGCACGCAATGACCGCGTGACCTCATCGCCTCAAAGTGGTAGTACTCGGGCCCCAGCCCACCGATGGTGACCTCCAAGCGAAACTGAGATGCCCCCATGGGTCAACTGGATCCCGACCCGGCATCTTGAGAGTCTCAGGCTGCCTGCGCGAGGACCCAGTGTATCGGCCGTTGCGCGGACAGCCCACAGGTGAGCAGCGGGGCGCAGGTGTCGTATTTGTGGCTGTTTGAGCAGCGGTTGGCCACCGAGCTGCAAGGTCAAGTCCGGCAGCGCAGAGGTCAGCTTGCTAGCGGTGGCGATGTTTCTGGCTCAGGGCCAGCGCTAGGGGGGGACAGGCTCAGGGCGGAACGCATCGAGCCCCAATCGCCCATTCATCGCCGATTGGGACCCGCCCAGGAACGTGCGGATCCGCTCTCGGGGGCCTGTCGCCGATTTGTCGGCGATGTATTCCCGCTTCCAGGCCCATGTTCCCCCCCTGAGCTGGTCCCCCTTCTCATCGCTGCCCCTCACATCTTGGCATCGCTCGGACGTTTGCGTTTTCTTTCTCGGCGAGGACCTTCGAAGAGCATCTTCGACCATTTGGAGAAAAAAACGCGCACGAACCCGACAAAAATACAGGGAATTGACGTCCGAGCGATGGCCAGACATGCGCGTGATACCTTTTAGCCCGCAGGGGCGCAACGAGAATTGTGCCTCGCAGCCTGGGGTTTCAGAGCTGTCCTCTCCCAGGCGGGCCGCCCATGGTCGCGGGGAGGACCGCGCCTCGCGCTCCGCTCGGCCCGCAGCGTCTCGGGTGGCGCCTTGCTCGACAGCCTATTCCGCACTGCTCGGCAGCCTGGTGGAATTGACAAAGCAGCGTGGGCGCTGGGCGAACTCGTGCACTTTCCACTGTGGCTGGAGGCCGCCATGCTGGGCGCCGTTGGCAAATGTTCTGCCTCCAGGTGTGGTTTTCTTGTCTCAGGATGCCTTCCAGCAGCTTCGCTTCGCCGAGGGCGTTTCGGGGGTGCTCGGATCGTCCCGAACGGCCTCCGGAGACCCAAGTTATGACCCGAAGTCAAAGCATAACCCTGACACCCTAGCGGTGCGGAAAAAGCACAGCAGAGTTGTTTTAAGGGAAAGAGCCGTTTTCGGCAAGACCTGGGGCGCCAGAGGGGGCCGACATTCTCGCGTTTCCCCCTCTCGCCTTTCCCATCACCGACGTCCAAACGATCCGGCCCGCGCGCAGGATGCTGGAATGTCAACCCTTCGCTGACGATGATCAGCATAAGATAAACGTTGTTTCCGCCATCGGGGACACATGTCCCAGGGCGACCAGGACAAATATACCTCCACTGCGGCACCTTGGGGCACCAATTTCTTAACCGCCCTGATACAGGCGTCTGCGATGGCGGGACAGTTTATGGTATACCGATCTCGCTGGCAGAACAATGATCTTTCTGGCACAGAGGTGTCCGTTCAGACACTGCGCATGGGTTATTAGAACACTAAGGCTCTGGGGATGTCAGAGAATTGTCCTGTGGATTGTCTTGTGCATTGTCATGTGCATTATCACGTTCAATGTCTTGTGGGTTGTCCTGTGGATTGCAACGTAGATTGTCACGTGGATTGTCACGTGGATTGTCTTGTGGATTGTCATCTGGAGTGTCCTCTGGATTGTCCTGTGGAGCTGTCTATGGATTGTCACGTGAATCTCATCCCTGATTCGAGTTTCTCGGGGCGTGCCCGGGGTATTTTCGTCCAGGGTCCCACTGGAGCCGCCCTGCGCGCGCGAACTAGTAATGTACACAAGCTCCGGACCTCGCATTGGTGATCTTGGCACGCATTCCGCCCGTTGGGCTGGCGAGACGCAGAGGAATTATTCCCGTGTGTGTTTTCTGTGGTGCGTTCTTACGACTCTCGCCAGTTCTATTTGGAAATTGATGTAACAGTCGGTTCACGCTGTGCGCAAGGAGCACGTCGACGCACGGCGCTCGTGCGGTGCGCGCTTTTCCCTTGGTGAGGAGAGCACACGTTGATACCGCTGCCGCCGCACATTTGGCGCAGAGGTGCAGTTCCTCGGGCAGGACAGAGCAGACGAGGAGGCGGAGGAGGGACTTCTAAGAGGAAGGGGGCGGGAGGCTGGAGGGAGGGGAGGGCACTGACAAGGAGGGTGACGGAGAGCGGGTGGTCGAGACGGAGGGAGCAAAAGAGAGAGAGAGAGAGAGAGAGAGAGGGAGGCGGTGGAGGAGGCGGCCCCGTGCAGGAGCATAAGAGGGTCGCCAAGCAGCAGGAGGCCATTGAGGAGGCTGCGAGAATCTCCGAGGAGTACCTCACGCAGAAGGAGACGCGTAGTCTCGTCTTGCTGTTTTTCCCCTCCGTATTGAGTCTCTCCACTCGTCCTCCCTCCCTCATTCATCACTTTCCGCTCCTCCGACCTCTGATATCCCCCCTCTCACCATGCTCCCACCTCCATCCCTCCTCCTAACCCTATCCACGTGCGACAGCGCGTAGTCTTGCAATACGGGTCCCAGAGTTCTCGACCCTATCCAGGGGCCAGTTTTTCCACCTCGGGCTGGTTTCTGATTATCCTGGGGCCTAAACTGGCCTCACACATCGTCAATTCGAGGAAGCACAGGCCGTCGCGAATATGTTCGAGTCGTCAGAGTGCCCCCATCTCTTCTGCCCTCGGAGGCTCGGAGGAAGATAGGGATTCAGATACCCAGGCGGGGTGCTCAACACAATACGCTTCTGTTCTTAATCCCAGCATTGCCCTCAACGCCTACTGTGTCACTTGTTTCCCCCTGGTGGGGTTCTCAACGCAAAGAGAGTCAACTAACGCCCCAGGTTCGAACCTACGTGTCCCTCTGCAACCTGTTACTGTGGACGGCTTGCTCAGCGCAGAGCATGTCAGTTGTTACCTTGAGTGTGAGCCCGGAGGCCTACTGTGTCACCTGATACTCGGGGTCTCAAACAACAGTTTATCATTGTTTCGTTTGTTTGGACCATAAATACATTCGGCTGTGTTCAAACGTTGAGCTGGTTTTGCAGCGCTGTCACCACAAGTTGTTGATCAACAACATTGAGTGGCAAGGATCGGTTTCGCGATCGCGTCGTTGCATTGTGTCGTGTTATGTTGCATAACTCGCTGCTATGCTGCGGTATGCTACGCGGTGCTCTGTTATGCGAGGTGGTACGCATGTTATGACACGGTGCAATGTGCGATCAAATCGTACGCGTACATGTTATGTAGTGGTTTGTTTTGTTCTGGCATGCAACATGTGCTCAGACGTTTTGTGCAATATACAGCTGTACTGCTTCAATGGGTACCTATACACATGGAGGACGGGTATGTCTTGTAAGCGGGCCCCCGCGAGTCGCCGAGCGATCGGTCCGAGACGCTCCATATGGCTTCCTCACAGCCCAAGGTACCTCTAAGACGGTCGAAGTGGCATCCAAGAGCCATCCAAACAGAGCTTCAAGAGGCAAAGCTCGTCCCACTTCGTTGAGGAAACATGCATGTGTAGCATATTTGACCGTTCGGCCTTCGCGGAGTCCAAAACGATCCGAGAGGTTTCCCATATCTTCCCGAGACGGCCCAACAGGGCCCCCAAGAGGGCCCCCAGACGGCCCAGGAAACGCCCAAGACGGCTCCAAGAGGGTCCTCTGGCGGGGTCCAACAGGGACAACTCGAATTTAGATTTCGAGCCCTCCGCCCCGAATGGGACCCCCGAGACCGCCAGCAGGCTTCCAAGAGGCCTCCAAGAAACCCAACCAAGAGATGCCCCAAAAGGCCCTCCACAGGTCCCCGAGAGGTCCCAAGAGGCCTCCTGACATGCCCCAGTAGCTTCGACCTCGGAACTCACAACTGACCGCGCGCCGTAGCTGTCCCAACCCGATCATAGACCGAACTGAGGAACAATTGAGTATGGCGACGGTCAGACAGTCCATATCTACGTGTATATATCTACCATATCTATGTGTATAGATCCATAGATACACATACACATACATATATGATGGTCTTCGCACCATCCCGCCACCTTGGCCGGATTGTCGGTGAGAGTCATCAGGGATGCTTCTTTGGGCCTGGTCGGAGCGCTCTGAGACCTCGTGGGATAGTTTTTGGGGCCTATCGGGGACAGTTTGGGGACCTCTTGGGGGTCTCTGGGGAGCCTCTGAGGGGGCCTCCTTGGAGCCCCGAAAAGCCAAGAGGCCCCAAAGAGGCCCCAAGAGTCTTGAAATGTCCGTTCGAGTCCCCAGTCTGGGCCCCCTCCTGGAGTCGTCTTGGAGGCTTCTTGGGCCGTCTTGGGGCCCTATGGGGCCGTTTTGGGGTCCTTTTGGAAGCCTCTTGGGGCCATCTTGGGGGGCTCGTAAGCCGTCCTGGAGCGTCGGGAAGCCGCAAAGGCGATACAGCCAGAATCCTTTAACAACCGATGGAACATCACTGATTTCTGGAAGGCCTCTTTTGGGGGCCTCTTTGGGGGCCTCTTTGGGGGCCTCTTGGGCAGTGTGCTAACCATTTTCGGCGTCTTGGAGCGATGTTTTGGCGAATGTCGGCTCTCTTCGATCAACGGCACCGTAACGGGTACTTCCTAACAGGTACTTTGCAATTTTGCCGAAAGTTGCCACTTTAGGGCCTCTTTCTGGCAATGCAGCGTTGCCCGCATCGGGAAGGGTTGGGTTCGCTGGGTCACTGGCCAAAGTGCCCGTTAGTGGAGTCCCCGTTTGTGGGGCGCCGATTCGACCGCGAGAGCGGCCTCCTGGGGCTCTGGCGTCCCGTTCGTGGCCCTCCCGGGCGATGGGGGCCGTCCCGGAGAGGCCCACGCGACCCGCCCGCAGCGGCGCTCGGGAGCGCCCGGGAGCGCCGAGGAAATCGGGGGCCTGGGCTTTTCAGAGCCATACAGAGCCTGTGCACATGGTTCATTTCTAATTCTTCGAGGGTTCTTTGATTTTTGGGGGGGCCAGGATCCCTTTCATCTCTAATTCTTCTATCCTGGGCCCTTTTCCTGGCCACTAGGGGTCAGGAACAATTTTGAAACGAGCACGATTAGATATGAGCACGCTTAGAAGTGAACGACGTGTACCTCTCAGGTCTGCATGGGCCTTGGGGCACTCCACTGCGTGCTGAAGACAAGGTGGAGGATATAAGAAGGGCTTCGCCCTCTGCCCCCTGCCCCCTGCCCCCCCCCCCATATTGCTTGCATCGCCACGCTTGGTTAGTGGGTTGGTTGGCTTTCTTCTCCGTTGGCTGGCTGGCAACTCGGCTGACTGGCATTGACTACGTTGATACTCGGAATTTGTTTGGGGCTGCTTGCTGACTGGCTGGTTGCGCGCGTCTGCATCAATTATTATGGGATGGTGGCCTGGTGAACATGCTTCCATCGTAGTTTACGAGGGCTCGAATCTTCGGCAACGCGCACCCTAGCTAGTTTCAGGGATTGACCATCGACCGTATTTACGTCATTACAGCATTGGAATTTGAACCGGTAACGTCTACAACTACTATTTGGAAGAAATTGGTTCAGGGAGCATGACAGCCTAATTATCGCAGCATGCCCCCCCCCCGTCAAGGGAGCGGGCGGATAATGTGGGATGTAAAGATGTGCATCGTGTTGTATGGTTCGTTTGTCTCTAACCTGGAAGCCTATGCTATGCTATACGGTGGCCGTGCTGCTATTTGGTATGTTGTGATACTCGCCGCGATGGTCTGACATTCATGCTATGCTGTGCTATGCTTCTTCTGCTCTTCTCTACCGCACAATTCTATATTATACGATTTGTTCCATGCTGTGCTATCCGAGGAGGGGAAGGCCTGCTCGTCGCGCTGTACAGATGGGACCCCCTAGGCCCCATATCGTTGGAGCGCGCGTTCCTGACCGGTCGAAGAATCACCGCGAGTCACCAAGAGGGACCCAGATGCCCGGGCCCGAACATCGGCCGAATACGGTCCCGATACACACCCAGTAGACGGCCTCAGGGTCTTGATAATCGGCCCCAGCGATCCCATTTGGCTAGCTGGGGGCCCCAGGAGGGCCAGCATATGCCCCCCAAAGCTTCAGGGTGGCTTCAAGAGATGCCTCCAGGTTGCTATCCTCCTGTCCCTCGTCGCTTCCTCCTGCAACAGCTGGAGCACGCGTGCCACCTGTTGCAATGCCAATGCAAGCTTCAGACGATACTGCGTGACAGCTCAGAGCCGAAGAACCTGGAAGAGCGGCCAACGGATGCTCTCACGGTGAAGCACTCAGTCTTCATGCTGCAGGGCTCTCCTTCTCGTCGTAGTGAGCGCTTTAGGGAATCTGGCAGCGCTTGGGTGCGCCTGGGAGCGCCTGGGAACGCATGGGGGCGGTTGGGACTCAGAGGATGGGTGTGTGTGTCTGCGTGTGTGTGTGTGTGTGTGTGTGTGTGTGTGTGTGTGTGTGTGTGTGTATGTGCGTGTGTGTGTGTGTGTGTGTGCGTATGTGTGTGTGTTTGTTTGTTTGTTTGTGTGTGTGTGTGGGTGTGGGGGTGGGGGGGGGTGGGAGGGTGTGTGGTGTGTGTGTGGTTTTGTGGGTGTGTGCGTGTGCATGTGCGTGTGCGTGTGGGTGTGCGTGTGCGTGAGCGTGTGCGTCTGCGTCTGCGTCTGCGTCTGCGTCTGCGTCTGCGTCTGCGTCTGCGTCTGCGTCTGCGTCTGCGTCTGCGTCTGCGTGTGCGTGTGCGTGTGCTTGCGCGTGCGCGTGCGCGTGCGCGTGCGCGTGCGCATGCGCGTGTGCGTGCGCGTGCAGGTTCGTCTGCGTGTGCGCGTGCGCGTGCGCGTCCGCGTCCGCGTGCGCGTTTGTGTGCGCGTGCGCGTGATCGCGTGCGTGCGTGCGTGCGTGCGTGCGTGCGTGCACGTGCGCGTGCGTGCGCGTGTGCGTGCGCGTGTGCGTGCGCGTGTGCGTTTGTGTGTGCGTGCGTGTGCGTGCGTGCGTGTGCGTGCGTGCGTGTGCGTGTGCGTGTGCGTGTGCGTGTGGGCGTGAGTGTGTGCGTGTGTGTGTGTGTGTGTGTGTGTGTGTGTGTTCGTGTGCGTGTGCGTGTGCGTGTGCGTGTGCGTGTGCGTGTGCTTGTGCGTGTGCGTCTGCCTGTGCGTGTTGGTGTGCGCGTGGGTGTGGGTGTACGTGTGCGTGTGGGGGTGGGGGTGGGGGGGGGGGGGGGGGGGGGTGGGGGGGGGGGGGGGGGGGGGGGGGGGGGGGGGGGGGGGGGGGGGTGGGGGTGGGGTGGGAGGGGGGGTGGGTGGGTGTAGGTGTGGGTGTCAGGTGTGGGTGTGGGTGTGGGTCAAGCCTGCCGCTCGAGCGAGTGAAGCATGGCATGCCATTGCCACCCCCT